CAGAGACAGGAGCAATTGTCAAAATTTTGGAGTCAATCATTCGATTTCATCCTGGGCACTACAGAAAATGGGCTAAAAGTGTTAAAAACCGGAATTCTCCTTTAATGGAGTTGGCAAAAAGGCCGGTTAACCTTTATTCGTAGTTGTCGATTGTAGTTGTTCCTTGGTTTTTAAAATGGCGCGCCCCGGCAAAGATTCGAGAAGGAGGACCATACAGACAGCCGGAAAGGCATAACAAGGACCAATCACAGCTGCTTTTTGTCTGCGCACTTCCGCTTGAGGTACAGATTTGATGGTTGCAGAGGCTATGCGTCAGAAGCATAAATTCGCCTTTACTCGATCAGGCTTCATCTGCGCACAAAACAGCCGGATTTATGAATTGCTGTTTAGTTTTCGCCTCCCTAACTACAATAATCAATACAGTTCAGTAACAAATATTTGCTGTAATAACAGAGGTTATATCCCTGCAGAGAGTTTATTCCAAAACCGTTAATTCACATGGCAGCCATATTGAATTTTGAGGTTGAATTGAGTGAATTCTGCTTAGAATATTTGTTCTTAAATGTTATAAAAATGAATTGTCTCAGAAATTAGGTCATTTACACCTGGAAAAGGATGTTTAAACCCTGAGTGATGATTATCGTCTTCAGTATCAGATGGGTCGGTGTGGCTTGCTCGGTGCAGTGCTCCTCTCTGCGCCGCCGCTCTGGTTAATCCCCCCCTGAGCTGCAGTCAGAGCCCACTGCTGAGTTAGCTTTGGGCTTAAAAACTGTGAACTCTGTTTGTGAACTCTAATTTGCTATTGCTCAGCTAACGGAAAGCCTTGTTCTCAGACGCATTCATGCCTGAGGGGACGATCCTCTGCCCATTCTTCACTACTAACCTTCAAAGCTCAGATTTGTGTGTAACATTGAGATGTTCTCTGAATTTAGTAAATGACTATTTTGTCTCTTCAGGATTAGTGTGTAGCTTAAATGTTTCAGATCGTCAAAGGTTGTCAATACAAAAAGCACCAACCTGGTCATATGTGTAAAGTATTTAACCCCTTCTTAAACCTGCTCAGTTATAGCAAGTTTCAAGCTATTAATATGTGTCGCTCCTCTTGGCTGCTATGGTTCTTTAAAGCAAACGTCTGTTTCTGGCCTTAAACTGTAGCTGTCAGTGAGGCAGAGACTCATCAGATGTGGATTTTTAGCTCTATTCTGATCCAGAAGAGATCTAATAGCGGCTTTCTAACAGTGTTGGAAATCTGTGGGGAACAACGCTACTACAACTGACGCTTGATTTATTTATTTATTATTTCTCCTAGTCCAGCCTTCTCTCTCTCTTTTCAAGGACTGACTCTAATAACAACAGCGTCTGCACCTTTAACTCTCTCTCCATTTCTTAATGATTTTTGCAGCCCCTGAAGTGTGAAAACACCTTTCTTTATCGCAGAGAATTTACACGCCTGAAGAAACACAATGAGGAAAAATGGCAGCCAAAACTTTCTGGAAAATATTCAGCAGAGCAGAAGAGAAGAACATAATAGCATCTGCTGTATTCTAAAATCAGCCTTTTAGAAGCAGAACTTCACACCATACAGCCAAACATGGTGGTGGTAGTGTGATGATCTGGGTCTACTTTGATTTAAAATGGTAATAAATCTTTTGAATGGACTGTATGCTGATTATACACACTTTATTACACTCAGGTTTGCAAAGTTAACGATTGCACAAGTTGCCTATAAACCGACTAATGTTGAAACGTGCTGCTGCCTTTGTATTCCAGTGCATTGCTGAACCTGAAGGGTAAATTTCCACCTCGTTCCGACTCCTCCAGCTGGTTCAGTGAAGCTGGGTTTGCAGGAAAGCACCTCCTATCAGGCCATGGCTACTTATGTTTGATGTGTAAACACACGCTGATGAGTTTGTTTGAGTGATGCAGCAGAAATTCCTATTTAAAGCAGTTCTCCAACCAGGGTCACATTACTAGCATTATGCAACAAACCCATCTGACTTCAGAAGCTGTGTCTTCTACAAACACTATCTGGGGTTTCAATGTGGCTATTTTTCCTGGCGTGCCGTTTCTGTCGGAACAACTTTTTAGTTTGTGAGAGTTGTAGAGTAACCAGTCGAAACACTGACAAATACTAGTACTACTACTACTAGGTAGTCTCTCCTAAACTCTGTGCTGCTTTTAAAAAATAAGTTGTTAGGTTTATTATTTAAAATGATTCAAAGGTTGTTTGATGTTGTAATCACACAGGAGTCTTATAGCTACACCTGTTTATCACAGGGCCACTTCATAGAAATAGATCAAACCCTCTCTCTACATTTAATCATATGAGAACCACAAACTGCAGTGGAATTTAGCAGAGATTTATATTGCATGCCCACATGATGTAGTGAAAATTTTGTGAAGTAGTTGGAAAATGATTGATTTTAATATCCAATTCTAATACTAAATATACAGCCTGTATTATTATGGAAGCTTCACCACATTCGGGCATTAGGATGTCCTAGTCAAAGTCTGGACTTAATTCGTCTACTTACACTGTGGCAACATGATAAGAACTGATATCCACCAATCTGGGTTTCAGCTGCTTTTCAAAGACGAATGGGTAAAAACTAGGGCTGCAACAACGAATCGATAAAAATCGACTTTTAAAAGCGTTGGCAACGAATTTCATCATC